ACACACACACACACACACACACTCACTCACTACACACTCACACACACACACACACACACACACACACACACACACACACAATATATATATATATATATATATATGTGTATGTATATATCTCCACACGGCTTTCAAAATAAGCTTCGTAAGGCGTGGCGTGTGCGTCAGCCGTACGCTGGCATCATATACACAATGATATGCATGCGTATAGGTCTAGTATGTTGGTGAGCACTGTTCCATATGTACCCCTGTGTATGCATGATCGCGTGCACACACCTACGCAGTGGCTTGCTGCGCTGCGCTATAGTTCATTAGGTGCCGTTGATTCGTAGCCCATACCGCACACTTGTTGCAGGCCACACTCATGCAAGCACATATACGAAGGTCTTGCTATATCAGACCCCGCCTAAGTATATCTACCACGCACCGTCTCCTATTGCTTATTCCGCGCGGGTTGGCTTATTTTCTCACTAGGTCCATGCCAGTCGGAAACACATCGAGGTTGTTCCCGGCGAGACCATGTTTTCGGTGCAGTTGAAGATTGACAGCATGCTGCCGTGGCTGTATGACCTGGTAAAATCAGGTGTACAACCCGAACCAGGCATAAAGCTAGGCCCCGATACAAGCCTTAAGGACTTTGCCATTATGAATCTCATTGGCAGGTGCGTGGGTTAGGTGTGGGGTGGTGTGTGGCTGTGTGTGGATGTATGTGTATAGCAATGTGTGGACAGTAGTGAAGATTATGTAAGTACGTGTTCCCACTCGGTGGGGTGTTTGGCTGTGAGTGGGTGTATGTGTATAGCAATGTGTGGACAGTAGTGAAGATTTTGTAGGTACGTTTTCCCACTCGGCGGGGTGTGTGGCTGTGGGTGGGTGTATGTGTATAGCAATGTGTGGACAGTAGTGAAGAATACGTAAGTACGTTTTCCCACTCGGCGGAGTGTGTGGCTGTGAGTGGGTGTATGTGTATAGCAATGTGTGGACAGTAGTGAGGAATACGTAAGTACGTAAACCCACTCGGTGGGGTGTGGCTGCGGTGAGTCGTATACGTGCTGCATTGTGTAGGTGATATTGTAAATTGCCAGTCACCTGCGAGTATTAAGCAAGTAGCACGTGCACAAAACGTACTGAGAAAAAAAGGAATCATGGCTATAACACACAAGCTATGAAACTTGCGCAGAATTTTTCTTAGTATAAAAATGAATTAGCGTTTATAACACTGGAACGATATTAAATCAATATTGATAACGTTGGTACGTAATTGACACTTAATTCAATCAATTTGTATATACATTCTCAAGCATTTCATAGTTGTATTGCTATACACATTACACACACTTCTATAGAATGGATCATAACCTCTAGCAGTTCATAGTTGTATTATCATATTCACTGCACACGTTTAATTGTTGGTACTTACAGGGGTGGGTTTGCTCAAGTGCGGCTGGTGCAACACAAACAGACAGAGAAGTACTTTGCCCTCAAGATAATGGAGAAGAAGGCTATGATAGAGATGGACGCGGTATGTATGAGAGTGACCAATGACA